ACACACACACACACATATCCTGAAAAGTGCATACAATCTCTGCACATATTTTATTTTTTCATTTAAATGTTTTTAATTTTTTAAATTTTTTATCTTTTTTGCCAGTTCTGGGGCTAGAACTCGGCCTGTGAGCTGTCCCTGAGCCTCTTTGTGCTCAAGGGTAGAACTCTGCCACTTGAGCCACAGCACCACGTCTAGCTTTTTTTTGAGTAGTTTACTGGAGATGAATTGCATGGACTTTCCTGCCCAGGCTGGCTTCAAACTGTGATCCTCAGATCTCAACCTCCTGAGTAGCTAGAACTACAGCCGCGAGCACTGGTGCCTGGTCCACCCAGTACTTTTAGTAGTTCCTTCATTTGTCTATTTTGTGCTACTGGAGATTGAACCCAGGGTCACGCTTGCTGTGCAAGCCTCTGCCATGTGAGGTACCACAGCCCTTTTGGTGTCTTCAGAAAAACCCATTTGTTACCTCACATAGTCATTGGGATTTCGTTGTGATATTTCTATACATCCATCCAATTTCCCCTATTATTCCTTCATATCCTCTCCCATTTGTGTTTAGTCTCAGTGTGCTGTTTTCATACATACACGGACTGTCCTCTGCTCTTTCTTGCCCCTGTCACTTCTTGTTTGTTTCATTCCCTGGGGTTCGTTTCGGTAAATACTATTTTATAGGATCAGAGGCACATAGGCGTTGCGCCTTTGTGTTCATCTCTTTTCTCCTCCTGCTGCCCCTACAAAGGAAGTAGTATTTTATTTGCATTCTGTTGTTCTTTGTTTTTGAGCTGGGGGGGTCTCACTACATTCATCTGGGCTGGCCTCAGACTTGCATGTCTCCCTAGTAGTTGGGGGTGCAGTCATGCATAGCCGTGCCCAGCCCCCATTTATGTGTTCATTCAGCAGTATGTATTGGTGGCTTCTGTGCTCAGGGAGAGGTTGGCAAAGGTTGGCACAGTAGCTGGCTCTGCTTCTCCACCCGCCGTGCCCCGCCGCTCCGCTCTGCGCTGGGAAGCAGGCCCAGGAGGCACGGCCACCGCTGTGCCCGTCCGACACTTCAGTGAGTACCGTTCCTACCCCACCGCTAAAATACACGAAAAGCTACATGAAACAGGGCATGGTGGCTCACACCAGTACTCTAGCTACTTGAGAGGCTGAAATTGGGAGGATTAATAGCTCAAGACCACCCTGGACAAAATATTCATGAGACCCCATGTCAACCAATTAAAAGCTAGACAGGGTGGTATCTGCCTAACATCCCTGTGTGTTGCCAACTGTTGAAGAGGAGTGTTCCAGACCTGATCTCAAGATAGCCAGAGCAAATAGGTCTGGAGGCATGGCTCAAGTAAGAGCGCTTTGGGGTGAGGCCTTGAATCAGAAGGAATGGAAGGAGGGAGAGGAAGCTGTGGAATGAGTAGAACCTGCCTCTTGTTCTTAGCGGCCTTCACTGTTTCCGGTAGCGTCCTGGGCCCGGGCTCGCCAGGGCTGTCATTGATGTCTGGGTAGGCCAGGTGAGCTCTCTCTCAACTTTGTGATGGTTTCGTGTGTGCGTGTGTACGTGTGTGCGTGTGCACGCACGCACACGCACATATCTTGACCAGGGCTTGAACTCGGAGCTTCTCACTTTTTTCTCTCACAGCTGGTGCTCTACTACTTCAGTCATACCTCCGGTACAGCTTTTTTGTTTGGTCAATGGGCTTTGCTTTGGACTGTGATCCTCCGATCTCAGCCTCCTGAGGAGGTGGGACTCCATGTATGAGCCCCCAGCAGCATGTGGCTCCACTAACATTTTCACTCACTTGATGGGACTTTTATTTTTCCTCTTGAGCGTTACCGGGGCTGGAATTGAAGGCGTCTGCTGGGGAGGCTGCGTGTTTCTGCCACGCCCCTTGAGCCATGCCCCGGACCCTTCTGCTTGAGTTTTCATTTGTTCTCTCGGTTTGGTCCAGACCAGCCTGGCCCTGCTGGTAGGGCTGACGAGTGCGCATCACTACGCCCAGATGATTGATCATAATGATCATTACCTTTCGCCTGGGCTGGCCTTGAAGCATGGTTCTCTATTTCTGTCTTCCTAGCAGCTGGGATCACAGGCATGAGCCACCATGCCCAGCGTGGTTGTACTTTAAAATGGACTTCACTCTTTTGCTGGCTAGTGAAGTTTTGTTTTTTTTCTGTCCTGCTCCCTTGTCATCTAACTGCTACTCACGAGGCCACAGGCTGGTGGGCCTCTTTGTCCACACCCTGTGCCCCACCACCCGCACCCTGTTCCCAGCTTGACTCTGCGGCGTGGAGCACAGTGCTCACTGCCAGCATAGCCCCGGGACCCAGGTCGTGGCCCCGAGCGCTCGGCTGTGGAGGGGCGGGCCCGAGCCCGGGCTGCTCTGCGCTGTGCTCTGCGCTGGTCGCAGGCTTTCGAGGCGGCTTCTATTTGTGGTAGCTATGGCAACCTGCCAGAGCAAAGCTAAGCATTCAGTCCAGCTCCTCAAGTGCTGGGAGGATTAGAGACGTCTGAAGATGTTTAGTTTCCTTCCCAGCTCTTTCAGAGGGAGCAAGAGGGCAGTGTGCACATCACTGGGAGTGCCTTTAATCTCCCTGTGGCCCTGGAGAGTGCTCGGTCTGCACTGGCAGCCCAGCCTCTCACACAGCCCGCACGGAGCCCATACATATTCCAGAGCCGGCACCAGGGCCGGAGGGCGGCACTTCCCAGAGCTTCTCTTTTCAACCCACACTTTGTGGAAAGGTACATTTTCTTGCTCTTTGCTTTTGCTCTTTGATGCCTGGGTACGGAGTGGCGGAGGTGGAGCCAGAGGGGTGGAGCGAGAAGCCCCTGTGATGTGCCCATGGGGAGATGGAGGTGGAGGTGCACTCAGGGTGGGAGACCAGGAGGCGTTTGCCCGCATCCAGCCTCATGCAGTGTGAGCCACAGGGTGCATGCTTCACAAGTTTGTACCAATTGTTTGTTCTTACATATCAGTTCAAAGGTTAACATAAGCCCTCCCGCTCAGGAGGCTGAGGCGGGAAGATCGCAAGTTTGAGGCCAGCCTGGACTCCAGACACCAGTGGAATTCCCAGGTGCGTGGGACACCATGGTGATCTGAACCATATTGGTCTTGGGCGGGAATGCACTGGTGCTGGACGTGTCCCACACCGGGAGTTGTTTTTGCTTTTGTGCTGGCACCAAGTAGAGGTTCCGGGAGTGAGGAGCGAGGGGGACCTGAACGTAGGCTTTATGGGGTGTAGCGATTCGGCCTCGGGGAAGAAAAAACCTCATAAAGGAGGGGGAGGCTTGACAGAGGTCGGCTGGGCCCCGTCAGGCGCAGCCAAGGACGGACCCACACCCCAGGTGGGGGCCACGCCTGCGCTGTGCCTCTGGAACCCGTCCCCCACGCCACGGTGGCTTCAGCAAGAAGCCCTCCAAGACCAGTGGGTGGGTCACTCAGCAGCGCCGGCGGGGCCTCTTGTCTGCCAGGCTGTGTGCAGGCCCCAGGCCCACAATCACGAGCCCAGCCCTGTGCTGGGAGCTGGCCCAGCCGCTGGTAACGCAGTGATCAGAAGCAGACCCGGGCGTGACGGTCTGGGAACAGCGTGTGGTGGTGGGAGGATCCTGGTTCAAGGCCAGGGGCAAAAGTTAGATCAAGATCTGGAGTGTCATCAGCCTCGTGAGCATGAGGCCCTTAGTCACATCAGCCTCGTGAGCATGAGGCCCTTAGTTCACATCAGCCTCGTGAGCATGAGGCCCTTAGTTCACACTCCCATACTACCAAAGAAATGTTCTCATTCATTTAGTGGGTTGTGGTTTAAAAAAAAAAAAAAAAAAAGATCTGGCCTGAGAGATGGACTGAAAGACTCAGATGGTGGAGAACTTGGCCAGCCAGCGTTAGATCCTGAGTTCAAGCCCAGTACAGCCAAACAAAGCTGAACCTGCAGCTCCTCCGCTTCGCTGTCTGCAGCCTGTGGGGAGCAAGTTCGGTTTTTATTATTTTCTGTGAACTAGTCAGGGCAGAGGCAGAGCCAGCAGCTCCACGACACCTCTGGCTTCTCGGGTGAGGTGTGGGAGCTGCGCCATTGTGTGTGTGTGGGGGGGGACCTCAGAGCCAGCCACGCTGCAGCGCAGGCTGCGGCAGGAGCAGAGGCTGACTCTGGCCAAGGGGTGGGTCCGACACCTTTGGAGGAGCCACGTGCCCAGTTCTGGAGTTGGGATACTGGGCGGAGTGTGGGAACCCTGAGGAAAAGGGCTCGCATGTATCGGTCATGGCAGGGAGGTCTCTGTCTTTAGGGAAGTGTTTATTCCAGCTTGGGTTCTCTGTCATCTTCCCTGAACCCCAGTGCAGGCCTGTCCTCCGCAGCCCGTCTGCCCCGCCTGACACCGCGCTGTCCTCCGCAGCCCGTCTGCCCCGACAGACACCGCGCTGTCCTCCTCCGCGCTGTCCTCCCCAGCCCGCCTGCCCCGACAGACACCACGTTGTCCTCCGCAGCCCGCCTGCCCCGACAGACACCACGCTGTCCTCCCCAGCCCGCCTGCAGCCCGCCTGCCCCGCCTGCCCCGACAGACACCACGCTGGTTGGGGCCGGTGTACAGGACTCTCAGTGCCCAGAAGGGAGAGCAGCGAGGGTACTAGAAGCGGGGCAGGTGCGGGCTTTGTCTGTAGCACTGGACGAGGGGACTCGTGTGAGCCTCGCAGGAGCCGGTCGGTCCTGCTGGGACTGGGCTAAGAAGGAAGGGCTCCTGCCCAGCCTGATCGCACCTTTCTGGGGTCTTTCCCTGGTTCTCGATCTAACTAACCCAATGCAGCCTCGTGTCAGGAGCCTCGACCCTGGTCTCTGCTCCTGAGCTGCTAGAGACCACTCGTATGCACACTTCGCTCTTGTAGAGCATTTTCCACTTTGGTGTGTGTTCATAGGGCGCATCGTCCGCCCTCACTGATGGACGGTGCTCCGTGCTGCTCCTCTCTGTCTTGTATAATCGCACGTTGTCAGTTCCTTCACCCTGGCCTCAGTTCTGATGCAGTGGGTGGTGTATGCTATCCGAAACCTCACCGAAGACAACAGCCGCAACCAGGATCTGATTGCCAAGATGGAGGACCAGGGCCTCGCTGACACATCCCTACTGAAGAAAATGGGGTTTGAAGTGGAAAAGCAGGGGGAAAAGCTGATTCTGAAGTCTACTGGTGACGCACCCCCACCGGTAAGTGTCCTGAGAGCTGTCCTCTCCAGCCCTGCGAGGTTAAGAAGACAGTGTCCCGCTGCATGGTTACCATGGTTACAGCACTGAATAGAGGACTGCAGATGGTTTCTTGTGCAGGCTTTATTTATGCTACTGTTTGCTTGCAAGTTAAAATTTCAAACCCCTGCTGGACAAAAAGGGGGGAAAGTTGCAAAATGTTTGTGTAGTCCAAAACTAAGTTCCTGAAGGAAATCATGTTCTCTTTACAAGGTAGCTAATGTGCTCCACTGTTAAAAGAACCGATGCCCGGCATGATGCGCAGTTCCCCAGTGCCCAAACGCAGCTGGAACTCTGCACGTGCTTTTCCTTTATGTGATGGTGTGTACAGATCCCCGTTTGTAATTCGTACCTGTGGTTTGTTTCTGTTTTCTCCTCAGTGAGTGGCCTCTCCATCCAGGCACATGACGTTTCAGAATCTGGCTTGTGGATGTTTCACGTTCTAGTACGCAAACTTGCTGTGTTTGAAGTAGAAGTACAGATTCGGGACCCCGAGTGTCGTAGGTACAAGTCCCTGCGTTTCCCCTTCCTCTGCAAGGGTGTCCCCGCTTCCCCCGCCTGCGGTAGATGTGTGTTTCTGTGGTAATCATTGTATTCACTGTGCAGCAAATAATAAACGTCTCTGAGGGCACAGCCCCTGTTTGGCAAAGACAGGGACAGTTGCCTGGATTCTGTGAGCTCCACTCCTTTGAGTCCCCTCTGCTCAGCAAGGTTTCTGAACTCTGGGGACTGTAAAAGCCCTTTCTCACTTTGATTGATTCTCAAAATCCCTTTCTCCCTTCTCTTTGCCGGAACATTGACAAGACTCATTTCCAGGTAATTAATTCGAGAGCCTCCTTCTTAGGCACTTTGTTGTCACTGAGCCCGGCTCTGGAATGTAGCAGGGACTGGAAATGGGTGAGAGGGCACGGGGGCGCTTAACTCTTCTCATTCCAGACTGGGGCCTGCCTTCCAGCAGAGGGAGGAAGGGTTCACTCTGGGCCGGGTGTGGTGGCAAGGCAGTGAAGGGCCCTTGCATCTCGGTCGGCGGAACAGCCCCATCTCCCTGCTCTGCTGCAGCTGCAGACACAGTTTCACTGTGTCAGAGATGGCACTGGGCTGGGCACACAACTCCAACCTTCAGATCATTAATCAGTCATGCACGGAGTGCTTAGCACATCTATCTTCTTGGACAACCATGTTCTAAACTAAAATGCCCATAGAGTTCATACCACTGAACCTTCCAAAATAAAAACCAGTGAAGCCGCAACCAAACATTTTACGAAAATAGTGCCTCACAGCTGTAAACCTTGCCACTTGGGGGACTGGGATCTGAAGATCACTGTTCGAAGCCAGCCTGGGCAGCAAAGTCCAGGAGACTCTGATCTCCAGTTGATTAACAAAATGCTGGAAGTTGAGTGTGGCTCAAGCAGTAGAGTGCCAGCCTTGAGCACAAAAGCTCAGGGACAGCGCCCAGGCCCTGAGTTCAAGCCCCAGGACTAGTACACACCCACAAAAAATGATTACTCCAAAATGCAGTGCTTCTGAGTTTCTTTGTCCATCCTGTAGTGCTTCAAGAATAGCATCAGGCCGGGCGCTCGTGGCTCACGCCTGTAATCCTAGCTACTCAGGAGGCTGAGATCTGAGGATCGCGGTTCAAAGCCAGCCCGGGCAGGAAAGACCATGAGACTCCTATCTCCAATAAACCACCAGAAAACCGGAAGTGGCGCTGTAGCTCAAGTGGTAGAGCGCTCGCCTTGAGCTGAAGAGCTGAGGGACAGCGCCCAGGCCCAGAGTTCAAGCCCCACGACAGACAAAAAAAAAAAGAATAGCATCAGGTGAGCTGTGGGGGTGGGGCAGTGGCTTTGCGTGGGTCATCTCCGGTAGGCTGTAGCTAAAGAAACACCAGGTGCTGCCCCCGTGGTCAGTCTGCGTGAGACTGCTTTGTGAAGTTTGGTCTGTAGAGAAGTCATCGTTACATTAAGATGCACATACAAGACGTTCCCTTCTGGGGCACAAAGAGTTAAACCCTGTCCTCCCCAGAGAGGACTGCCCAGAAGCAGACAGCAGGGTCCCTTTCTCCTTGGAAGGAGTCCGCAGTGGACATTCTTTCTTCCCCTCAATGGATGTGTGCACACCACTGGAGTCACACAGACATGTCGCTGTGCGCCGTGTAATAACAAACACAAGTAAGTCCTTGTGAGAGGGGCCTGGGCGTGGCTGTGGGGCCCGGCGGGGAGGTGGGGCCCGTGCGGTGGAAACACGCCGATGGCTGCATTGTGGCTCCCTCTGGTTCCCCGGGGCGTCGAGAGCCTGGACACACAGCCCGCTGTGTCCGCAGTGGGCCCGCGGCGTCGAGAGCCATGTTTCACATGCTGCAGAGGATTAAATCGCCCCTCAGTCAGCCTTTAGAAGGGAAGAAAGCAGGCCAGCCTTGCAAAATTTGTAAAGAGCCAGAATGGTCCCAGCGAGTTTTGTTGAGCGTATTGTTTCCAAGAGCAAACTGGCAAAGCCTTTAGCCTGCCTCATTGTGGCAGGCGCAGAAGAAAAGCTTGTGCTTGGAAATGAATCCCGGTGTCGGCAGAATGGCTCTTTTGTGCTGGTTCAACAATGGGCAGGACTTGAGAGACCTGGGTTTGCACAGCCCCGGGCTGCACTGCGGGTCTGCCTGTGTGCCTGGCTCGGCGCAGAACCAACGGTGGGACGTGGGTTTTCACAAAGCTCTAAATGTTTGTACGAAGTCCTCCCCGTGAAGGAATCTGTCTACCTGTGAAACAGTAGAGCAAGAACAGATCTTAAATGCAAGACCTGGTAACTCGTGAGGGGACAGTGGGCCTTGGTGCTGTCCAAGGTTCTGATCATTTCAGCTGTGTTGGCCTGCACATGCAAAGTCAAAAGCTCCATCTGCAAAATGTCAGGCTTTTTCCCCCCTGTGCTACAATATGGCTGTTTTCCTCTAATGCATTTTTTTTTTGGGTCCGGTCATGGGGCCTGAACTCTGGGCCTGAGTGCTGTCCCTCAGCTCTTCAGCTCAAAGCTAGCGCTCTACCACTTGAGCCACAGCGCCACTTCCGGCTTTTTTCTTTTTGCTTATGTGGTGCTGAGGAATCGAACCCAGGGCCTTGAGCATGCAAGGCAAGTGCTCTACCACTGAGCCACCTTCCCAGCCCCCCCTCTAATGCATTTTTGTACAACTTATTTGGGGTTTTAGGGAAAGTGCTGTGTGCCATTTTACCAATATGAATTTTGGCTTGTCTTCTACAGTGTATATGAATCTTTAACCAGTTCCCTCTTTGCTGTTGTCGGTGCTGGGGCTGGAGCTCAGGGCCTCGTGCCTGAGGGCACACGGAGCCAGTTGGTGTTTAGATGGAGTCTTACACTGTGGCCCCAACCGGCCTTGGACTGCAGTCCCCCTTCTCTGCCTTCCAAGTACCTGAGCCTGTAGCTGTGGCCAGGACCTGCTCGCTGTGCAGTGCTGAGGGCCAGGGTGCCGGCCCCGGGTGCTCTGCCGGCGTGTAGCTGTGACCACGACCTGCTCGCTGTGCAGTGCTGAGGGCCAGGGTGCCAGCCCCGGGTGCTCGCTGTGCAGTGCTGAGGGCCAGGGTGCCAGCCCCAGGTACTCTGCCGGCGTGTAGCTGTGGCCATGACCTGCTCGCTGTGCAGTGCTGAGGGCCAGGGTGCCGGCCCCGGGTGCTCTGCCGGCGTGTAGCTGTGGCCAGGATCTCTCGCTGTGCAGTGCTGAGGGCCAGGGTGCCGGCCCCGGGTGCTCTGCCGGCGTGTAGCTGTGGCCAGGATCTCTCGCTGTGCAGTGCCAGCCCCGGGTGCTCTGCCGGCGTGGAAGCGTCTTGGGGTGAAAGGATGGAGCGCAGTCTGGGTGGTCTCCCATGTGAACGTGAGCCAGAGAAGGGGGCAGAGCAGGGGCAGGCCCGTGTGTGGAGGCAGAGTCCATGGGACTGGAGGGGAGGGAGGGTCCTGTTTCCACTTAACCAAAATTGCTCATTGTTCTGTGTCCCAAGTCAAAATTTTGTAATAATAATTCTCTTTTGCTAGTCCCGGGGCCTGAACTCACGGCCTGGACGCTGTCCCTCAGCTGCTTTTGCTCAAGGCTATCACTGCTACCCCTTGAACCACAGCGCCACTTCTGGCTTTTTGTGTGTATGTGGTACTGAGGAATCGAACCCAAGGCTTCATGCATGGTAGGCCAGCACTTGACCCCTGAGCCACATTCCCAGCCCCTCCACCCCCCAATCAGAGGATTAAAGTCAGAAGTCATACACGTGTTTTCTGGCCATGGTCAAACTAAGGTACATATCAGTATCAAAGAACTAGGGAGATCCATGCTTACAGAAATCTTAATAACTTGGGTCAAAGGAGGAAAAGGAAATTAGAGCACATCATCAAGTGCTAAGGAAAGCAGCACAGAGAGAAGTTTGTTAGAGGAAGATCATCACTTGGAAGAGAAAGGTGGCAGTGCCCAAGCCGTCTGAGCAGTAGGAGGCTGAACCCGGGAGGTGGAGGAGGAAAGGAAAGAGCCGGAGCAGGAGCAGGAGACGGACGTGCGCGCACCAGGGGGCTGGGTGCGACTTGGCTCTGAAAGTGCCCCGCCAGCCAGGAGAGAAGCACCCTCCAGATGGCCATTCTCCCTGAAGGTCTTACAAACACTGAAGTCCTTAAGAAAGACGGGCACCACTGGCTCACACCTGTAATCCTAGCTACTCAGGAGGGGTTCGAAGCCAGCCGGGGCAGGAAAGTCCATGGGAACCTCACCCTGATTCACCACAGAAGGCCTGGCCTTGCCAGCGACTGGCGGATCCCATAAGGAGTGAGCTGCCAGGAGATGGAGTGGGGGAGGGAGCTCCCATCTAGGAGGAGCCGGTGCTCCCGTGTAATCTGGAGGTGGAAAAAGCACCAGGCAGCCGGCAGGAGCCCCCACCTAACCAGGGGAACCGCCACAAGGCCACCCGCATGGGGTGCACACTACTCTGCCAGTTCCGATGCGCATCTCTTCACCGACACCTGCCCAGACAGCCAAAGGCACTCACGTGTGATCCGGGCTCCCGTCAAGTTCACAGACACGGTGGACCATCACAGCGTGATCCTGTAAGGATCCCGAAGTGTCCAGCGAGCAGCTTCGGGTACACATCCTGCGTGGGGGTCCAGTGTGGCGGCAGGGGGAAGGAGCGCGGACGTGGCTCCCCTCCCCCCCCAGTCACCAGGGAGGATCCAGTACTGACTGCTCATTCAAGCCCAGGGCCCTTGACCGGGGCTGGCAGCCCAATGGGGTGAGGACTGGGTTGTACCCTCCAGGTGTACGTTTGGGTCCCCCAGTCCCTTGGGGTGCCACGACTGGCAGTTAGACGCTCCTCACCCAGGGTGACTGGTGTCCTCCCAGGAAATCTGGAGACAGAGGTCCAGGGCAGTGAGGTGGCCAGGGGAGGGAGGAGCGGGAGGGCAGCCAGCCGCAGGCCCAGGAGAGATGCCTGCCCACCCCTGGGCCTCAGATGTCCATCCCCCAGAACTGGGAGACGTGCCTGGAGCCACCACTGTGCTGTCTTGTTAGGTCAGCCCTAGCAAGCCAGCTCATGGCGTTCTGGCCTTGCTGAAGTTCAGATCAGTAAAGATGCCAGCAGGGCCCAAAGTGCCAAGAGAGCCCAGGGTATTCAGGAGAAGCT